AAGAACCTAGAATGAATATATGAATAAACAAAGATATTCAATGAAGTTATGCATTTAACTTGAAAAACTGAAAACAATCTAAATATCAAAAGTTAAGGTTACTGGAAAGTAAATTATGGTTCATTCACATGAGAGTACAGTGCCATAAGGAATTATTTATAAAGAGGTTTTGATGAAGAAAATACTCATGATAAAATATTAAGAAAAAAATCCCACAAAAATGTTTGATTTTGACTGTTCTAAAATTAGCTAAAAAAAGATTTGAAGTTAAAAAAAACCCATAACTACTAAAAGCATTTTTTGCTACATTTTCCATACTGGCATGTTTGTTTAATACATACATAGAACAATTGTGTCAGTTTCTATTATTCTTCATTATTACTATAAATTTGTATGGAGGTTCCTGAGCAATATAATAAATTTATTCTTTTTGTAAAAAGTTAAATAAACAATAAATCATCAGGAGATCTCTACTCATATCTGGGCTGGCTCCTAAATTAATATGGGCAAATCACAAACTTTAGAAATGGCTTTTTAGATAAGTATTGATGAAGTAAAACTAGAGTCTGAAGGCAAATAAAATATTCTTTTGGATTTTTCTTTTCTTGCCTTTACGTTTGATTTGCATACTGTTTCCATTATTGTATCACTGTATTTGTTCACAATTTAAAAAAACACTTTTAATTTAATTTCCTCATATCCCATTGTTGTTCTTCTATGTTCCCAAACTTAAGTGAAACATGAAAGCAGTAACTTTCAGCATAGGTTAATGAAGCATAAGTGAGGTGGGGCTACCGTCCAAATTTCTGGATTAGCCAGAGTCGGCCAGACAATCATGGTGGGATTCAGAACATACAAGTAAACAACTACCCTTTTGCTGCATTTACGGCCAATCTTCTAAAAAGGCTACTGTGTTTTGGTGGCTCATCTTACTGATCTCTCATTTAGTCTACAAGTCTCTGCATGCAATAAGGCTCCTGCCTACTCCATTCCCATGAAAGCATTCTGACAGAGAGTATCAATGATGTCAGTTGTTATTACACTGTTATTACTGGCTCCTCTTCTTCCACCCACTCCTTTAACACCTATGTGCCCCAGGGATTCATTGTGGTTCACCACTATTCTCCCTCTGTAGAATTCTCAAGGTTCTAACTACTCTCCGACCAAATACAAAACTCCAGATATCGCCCTAGAGCTTTAGACTCCATATCCAACTTCTACACAGATGACCCATTACTCACCTTAAACTCAATGTGCTGAACACTAAACATACCATCTTTGGTGGCTCCCCATTGTTTATAAAATTCAAGCCACCCCTTGATCTGGCTTCACCCTATTGCTTCAGCTCATCCTCTGCCATTCATATTCATTTTTCTGAAAGCCTGGTAAAACAAAATCACCACCTAGTATTTACTGAGGGCCCAATAAATGCCAGGCACTATTTTAAGCACTTTATATGATTAACTCATTAATCTTCACAGCAATCCCATAAGGTAGATGCTATTCTTTTCATTTTATGCTAAGGAAAGTATCTTGCCTAAGCTACTAAATAGTAGAGTCAGTATACAAACCTACATCCTGTGCTCCTTACTTTTATACTATGCACTTTTTCATAAATGCCTATATACTGTCCAATGCCAAGCACTGTCCTGGGGATTCAAGGTAAATATGACAAAAAAGACCCACGTCCTCATGGGACTCCTATTCTATGAAATAAATGGAATAAACAAACAAAAAAACATATTGTAGATTAAAAAATGCCCGGAAGAAAATAAAAAGGGTTTTATGACAGAAAATTCACTGAGGTGGCCCTACTTAACGGTAATGAAAGAAAACCTCTCTGAAAAATGACTTTTAAGGTGAAACCTAAAGGATGAGAAGGTACCAACTATGTAAAGTGAAAGGGTATACCTGAACAAGAACTGGGCCCTTACAAAGCACAAAAATGGTACTATGGACTGAATGACATTCTCCAAATATTCATATACTGAAGCCCTAATCCCAAATGTGACTGTGTATGGAGACAGAGCGTTTAAGAAGTAATTAAGATTAAATGAGGTCATAAGGATGGGCCCTAATCCAACAGGGCTGGTGTCCTTATAAGAAGAGGAAGAGACACTAGAGACTTCTCTCTCTCTGCAAGTGCACAAAGAAGAAAAGCCATGTGAGGACACAGTGAAAAGACACCGTCTACAAGTGAGGAAGAGAGGCCTCACCAGAAACCAACCCTGATGGCACCCTGATATTGACTTCTAGCCTCCAGAACTGTGAGAAAATAAATTTCTGTTGTTTAAGTCATCCAGTTTGTGGTATTTTGCTATGGCAGCAAAACCAAACAAATACAAATGGGAAAGACTGAGGTGTGTCATAGGAACTGACAAAAAATAGTGTGCTGGAATACAGAGAGCAATGGAGATAATAATATGTCAAAGACTCTTAAGTCCACAGACGGTAGGTGAGCCAGAAATAAAGTGATCGCAAAACCTGTCCCTGGTGCAGGAGTTTTAAGGTGGTTGATACTGAATTTCGAAATGTATGGTGTGGGTTTTTGTTCTCTCAGTGACTGGGAGTCACTAACATACAGTGGCTAGAATATAATAATCTATATTCCACCCTGGAATGCACAAAACAGCCCATACAGCAAAGAGCTGAACTCGTCCCAAAATGTTAATAGTGCCCTATTGAGGAACAGTGGCTAATAGTATGTTTGGTTTACTCAGGGGACTACAGAACACCAAGATTTAGCCTTTTTTGGTAGTTTTTACACAACTAAGGTTAGTTTTGAGCTAATTCTGGTGAATTAATAATTATGTGTTGTGCCTAGGCACAAGGAATGGTGTTGGATACTCTGGGGCATACCCACAGGAATCGAACATCAATCCTAGGTCAAAGAGCCACAGTAAGGGAGATATGACAACACATTTCGGCAAATCTAAGGCACCGGTGGTCTTAAGATGCATCATTTTATGTACAACTAAAGAAGGTAATACCACCAAGTAAATTACAAAATCAACTGTAAGATATACCCTAATTTCAGAGCTGTTATGATGTTAAAAAAATATACATCTTAAATAAATGAAAAAGAATATGAAAACAAATAGCTAAAATGCAAGTAGTAGGAATCATATAAAATAAAATAGTCTACAGCGGGAAGGAGTTTAGGTCTAGAGAAGAGATGTGAACATCATCTAAAAGGAGGTATTAAAAGCCGTAATTTGGATAAAGGCCAAAAGGGAGGCAAGAGGAGGCACCATAAAGACAATTTTTTTAAGTAAACAGGTATTAAAGCATTTAACTGCTTTACTACAATTAACGGTTTTCATATTTTGCAATAATTTCATGCTGATCTTCACCATCACTGCTAATTTTTTTTTTTTTCTTTTCGGTACACGGGCCTCTCACTGTTGTGGCCTCTCCCGTTGCAGAGCACAGGCTCCGGATGTGCAGGCTCAGCGGCCATGGCTCATGGGCCCAGCCGCTCTGCGGCATGTGGGATCTTCCCAGACCAGGGCACGAACCCGTGTCCCCTGCATCAGCAGGCAGACTTTCAACCACTGCGCCACCAGGGAAGCCCATCACTGCTAATTTTAACACTACAAATTTGTAAACAAAAAAAAGCAAAACATAGTGAAGATTAAGAACATGCTCAAGATCGTAAAAAGCAATACAAAAAACAGAGCATCCCATTCATTTCCAATATGGTGTCGAAACCACTTAGACATGCCACTGTGTGTGTGTGCGTCTGTTATGTAAGCTTAGTCAAAAAGCAATGGTACACACATCTGAAAGCAGAACCTGAGAGCAACCAAGAAAGCATGATACAATTACATGGAGAATTAATGTTTAAATTCCTAAGTGGTTTTATTATAAACATTCACAGTTACCAGTCAGAGCTATGAAAAACTGCAGTTATATCATAGTATCAAATTGTTTTCTCCTTAAAAAAATTTTTTTGAAGATAGTGGGAATATTTAAGTTCAATACTTTTAAATCAGTATTTTTTCAAGTTTTTTTTTTTTTTTTTTGTGGTACTCAGGCCTCTCACTGTTGTAGCCTCTCCCGCTGCGGAGCACAGGCTCTGGACGCGCAGCCTCAGCGGCCATGGCTCATGGGTCCAGCCGCTCCGCGACACGTGGGATCTTCCCGGACCGGGGCACGAACCCGTGTCCCCTGCATTGGCAGGCGGACTCTCAACCACTGCGCCACCAGGGAAGCCCTTTTTCAAGTATTTTTAAAGCATAAAGGCAATGTCATCTTTGTACATGAAAAAGTATGGTTCCAAGTCACGCATAGGATAAGAAAGAAGAAAATCTATAATTCTCTGGTATTAACACTTAAATGTGTTATAAATACACCAAATGATTTTAATTAAACTCTATTCATTTTGACTGAAATACCTTCTGACAAAGTTCCCCCAAGAGTGGGAGGGTGAGGTTTGAGGGAAGAAAAAGGAGAAATGGAGGGAGGGAATCCCTCATGAAAAAGAGAATGAAAAAAGAGACAAGAGAAGGAGAGGAGAGGTGACCTATCTGAAGAAATAACTAGCTAACAGAGTAAAGATGGTGAAGACCATCACATTGCCCCAGAACAGATTTCCTGAGTAAAGAGAATGTTACAGCTTTTTGCTAGAAGTTGAGCATGATAAAGCCTCTTGAAAACCATACTGGCTATCTACCTTTACTACAGAGCAGGTATTTTTCTCAAAATACTTGCAAGTCAAAGGAACCTGATGGGGAACACGAAGACCACCCGTTAGCCAAAGCAAACAGCACACAATCTGCATCTGTCTAAATGATTAGACAAACTGAGATGGCTGTTATCAAAGTGCATATTAACAGTTTGTCAAAACATGTTCTTGGGCTACTTTATGACTACTTTTACGTAAGCAAATTCCCTCAAAGGAAAAAAAATCCCAATAATTTTCTAAAACTACATGTCATACAATAGAACTATGGTTAAATTTACAAGTGGCAGGAAAAGTTTTGAAAAATGTGAAATACCTCAGTCTGACCTTCATGGGCACTGGTCTCATGAGTAACTCGAATGGCCTGTAATAAGAATATAAAGTATTAACAGGAACAAATGACTATATCCAACTTTTTAAATGAAAACAACAATGCTAAATTTTAACATCTAAAGCCTTGTTAAGAAACAAATTGGAGGAGATTTTTGGAACAGTTTAACACTAAATATTTAAGAATGATTTCTGAGTAAGCAAATGAATTGCTGTGCTTTCCAACCCTCAAATCTCTGAAACCTTAGGAAACTGAGTATCTGCTTATTTGTAATTGCCAGGGGTAAGTGGGAGTCATTTACCTTATTTAATTGCTGGAACTAACATTTAACACTTTATTCAACTGAGACTAGAATAAAGTAAGCATCTCACAGATAGAGACTGAAGAAGCTTAGCTCATCTGTTTCTCCAGGTTACATGCTATTCTGCAGCTCTGGCTGTATTTATGCTTAATCATGCAGCTTCAGTCAGCACTTTAGAAATGTGGAGCAAAAGGCATGCATTTAACAGAAGCTAGAGATTTTAGGTTCCTGAACTTAAAAAAAAAAAAAAATGCTCTTATAATAGGCACTATTAACAAAGATGAAGAGAAACAGTCAAAGTAAACTACGGGTGAAAGTACCTTTATGAATGGCAATTTGGCAGTAAGTATCAAAGCTTTAAAAACATGCAAACTATTTCGTCCAGCGATTTCTCTTCAAAGAGTTTTTATATTTACATATAACTGTACATAATTATATATCACTAATGATATTTGCAAAGACTTAGCTACAATGATATACCTTGTAGTATTTTTTCAAATGGTGAAAAAAAGGGAAAAATATTAAATTTCTGACAATAATTTATTGGTTAAATAAAATACTACACTATGGAAAGCTAGGCAGCCATTAAATGATGATGTCAAATATATACTTACTGGTATGTAATATGTTTGTGATAAGTTACGTGAAAAAAGCAAGTTATAAAACAATATTACAGTGTGATCAAATTTTTGTTTTAAAATATTGTGCATACAATTATATATTCCCTATTAAAAATATAAATGGTGGCTACCTCTCATTGGTGGGATTACTGGTGACTTTTATGTTGTTCATTTTATTTTTATGTAAAATAAAGATGTTTTATGAGATCAGCAGGTTTTTTTTAAAGAAAATACAACTTAAAATAATCAAAGTACATTAGAATGCTAAAACAACATAATCAAGTCAATGGATTTATTGGGCACAAACTCTGCCTAACACATTGTTCTAGCCAAATAATTTGTACACTATACTGTTTCTAATTTCAAAGAACTTACAATCTACTTAATGTCATTAAAAGGTAAAAAGCCTTCAAAAGAAAAATAGATTTCAAATAGAATAAAATGTAAATACCAATCTAAATTCTATGAAAAGGTACAATCATTTAAAACGTCTTAGACTATGTGGCCTGTGTCCTCACACATGCAAAAATATTACACTGATAAAATAGCTAGAGAATATTCTAACATCTACCTTTAAACCTTTGTTTTTTCCATTGGTCTTCAGCCTTGTTCCAAATTCCCAGTGAAAGACACACAGGGTATTGCCAAGCATATATTTATTATAGGGAGGGAATGGTAAGGAACAGTCAATCATAAGATATTTTATAAATTGTTAAATCAAATTGCCTTTTTTCTCTCATTCAGCTCTGGACATAGAAAAGAAGTGGCAATTTATCAACATTTATGGATATTTCAGATAATGTTACAAAAGTACAAAAGGCCTGTTTTAATGGATACAACAAAAATCCATAATTGCATAATATACGGTTTCAAGACAAACCCCCCAAAGGAATCTACAATCCCAGAGAATTTTGCCCACACATGAGATCAAGACAGAAAAAGGTACCGACGTCATAGTTCTCCAGGTATCTGGCTCGTTCTTCAGGGCTCATTGATGCAGACTCCTCCAGGAATTTTTTCAAGGTTGATCCAGATTCTGAGAATATTAAAGATGATAAAATTGAAAAGGCTTGCTATCTCAAAAAGACTGAGATATGAAAATACTAGAAGCATGCTAACTATTTCTCAGGTAAAACCCTTTTACTGGTAAGTTAGGAATATAAGAATATTGGGATAAATGATAGGGCTTAAGCTATTTGTTTGTTAAACCTGGGGAGTATTAATATTTCCCCTAACAGTATATACATTCCCATTATAAAAGAAAGAAGGGAGGAAAAGCTTTATTTGATACTTTGAAAGAAAGAACTAGAACACCACCTACTGCTCAGCAAGTTAACTTATAACTTAAGCAGGGGGAAGATAGCAGTAATGAAAAATTACTTACCAAAGTGCATCTTGTCTTTATTGTTGGCAATAGCATGGATTAGTCCAATTGTTCCACAGGCATTGCTGATGGTTTGCTTCATGAAATATACTGATGATGTAACATCTTGTCCCTGAGATTTTATTTTTTCCTCTTCTTCTGTTCTGAATATTTCATACTATCAAAAAAAAATTAGTAGCCTACATGTGAAAATAATATATTAAAAAGGACTTAAATATAAATATGGAAAAACTCTAAATATACATCAATGGGGATTTGGTTAACATGGCATATGTGAATGCAATACTATAAAACATTTTAAAAAGAATAAAATAGATTTACATATTCTGACTTAGAAATCTGTCCATGATTATAGAGTGGTTACAGGCCAGTATATATTAATATGATTCTCATTTATGTTTTAAAAATATTTACTTTATATATGCATTGAAAAGTGTTAAAGGATATAGAAAAACTTAACAGATAAGAGATAAGAGATAAGAGATCTAGGATAAGAGATTACTAGAGGAGTTTTACTTTCTATTTTTCACATTTCTATACTGTTACATCATATTATATTAACAAAATTCACACTATATTTATAAGTATATGGTATTCATAACATTCACCATTATCTATAACAACTGATTGTAAAAACAATATGGTACAATAATGTCAAAAGTGTGGGCTCTACATCTGATTGCCTTAACCCACAACCTGGCTCTGCCATTATTAGCTGCCATTATTAGCAACTCCAACAAGTTACTTAATGTCTCTGTGCCTCATTTTTCCAATTGTAAAAAGCGTTAAAAATAATGAGGTTAAAAAATGGGTGGGGAGAGAAATTAACACAACATTGTAAATCAACTATACCTGAATAAAATAAATATTTAAAAAATTGAGTGAGGATGGGGACTTCACTGGTGGTCCAGTGGGTAAGACTCCGTGCTCCCAATGCAAGGGGCCCAGGTTCGATCCCTGGTCAAGGAACTAGATCCCGCATGCCACAACTAAGAGCCTATGCGGCCAAAATAAATAAATTATTTTAAATAAATTTAAAAACAAAACTGAGGAGAAGGAAGAGAGTAGGAAGATGATTTTATTGTTTTGTTTATTGTTTTCCTATAATTTTCAGATTCCAATAGAGTAGGGAGCCCTACTACAGCCCACAGGCTACAGGCCAAACCTGGCCCACTGCCTGGTTTTGTAAGTAAAGTTTTATTTTTGTATTGTCTATGGCTGTTTTCATACTAAAAGGCAAAGTTGAATAGTTATAATAGAGACTATCAGGCCTGCAAAGTTGAAAATATTTACTAGCTGACCCTTCACAGAAAAACTCTGCTGACCCCTGTGATAAAAGAAACAAATGATGTCTATTTAAAACCCATAATTAAGGAACTGCTTTTAACAACAAACGTACCTGTGCCTGAAAAAATAATTTTTATAAATGTGCTCCTAAATCAAATTTTTATTTTTTTAATTTTTTTACTATTTTTTATTAGAGTATAGTTGATTTACAATGTTGTGTTAGTTTCTGCTGTACAGCAAAGTGAACCAGTTATACATATACATATATCCAAAATCAAATTTGTAAATATTTTCAGAATAAATTCTGAACCATTAATTCATTCATATAAGTTCAACTGATAAAAACTGAAAAGTTCAATACAGTAAGGTCTTGGGCTGAAATGTTTTGTACAGTCCTAGAGTTTAGTTTGTTATTGTTGTTGCTTAACATCAATGTTCCTTGGTGACAAAGCAAAAGAGTTTGAAGTTATCAAAAACTTACCATAAAGTTATCAAAAAGTTTGATAACTTCTCAAGATTTAAGGTTTAGAAAAAAAATCCTAAAATGATTCAGAGCAAGTACAGGAAAAAGGAAAGTGACTGTGTTTTCACTGTGGTCTGCCATAATTAAAGACAACAAAAATATCAGAGAGAGATAAATTAATAGCGTAAAGCACATTTAAAACACTGTAACTGACTTTATTTAAAAGATAATGATGTACCCATAACAATTCTTTTGCTATTAGTATGCTGAAGCCATTCACAACTACATAATCAGTTTCTAAATTAGAACTTAGAAGATTGAAACACTTCATATTTCCTAAACCATCCACTACATATCCTTTGATTTTTATTATGTCACTTATGAGCTGAAATAGGGACCGACCAAATTGTAAGAGATATCAGAAAGTGGCAGATGCCACTATATTTTCTACTTATATAAGTATAAATACTCATTCCTCACATCTTCCCATTTACTTCACTTTTTACAATGTTGAATTCATCCTATTATTTCTAAGTTTAAAAATAAAAATCAGAAAGATATAGACTCAAAACTGTTTTAAAATGGCTCCATAATGCACATAGCTATAAGATATCATTCTAGAAGGCCTGAAATATGGAGATTTGAACTTAGATACAGAGAGCTAAGAATAGCTGTTTATAATCCCCAACATATCCTAAATCTGCCAATTAAATTGTATTTAAGCTTAACGATTCTCACCCAAATCAAGTTTATTCTGAAAATAATGTAACCCATGTCATTAGTTACATCTACCTCCTTAAAACAAAGATTTCTTTACGTATATATTGAAAACATTTACATATTTTATATATTAAAATTTTGAATATTCTTTATTCATATATTTTCTAAGACAGATTTAAGAATATCCTAGTACTTAACAGTTCTAAAGTATACACATCAAATTGTGATTAAATGTCACATCAAAACAGTTGAGGCAAACTAACCATATTTTATAAAAAAAAAAAAAACTACCAGAGTTTAAAAGACTCAGGGCTTCTCTGTCAATCTACAAATCAAAATCTAAATACATCTCTTTAATAAAACTAGATTTTTAGGATGTCCCCACTGTCTAGATTTCCTCATTTTATGCAAGAAGGGAGTCATCTGTTCTTAATTCATAGGTTTAATTCAACAGCATAGGTTTAATTCAACATTGAAAGAGAATTCTGCATTTACTGGAAACTATATCTTACTTAACAATTACCTTTTCTGTAATAGGGAAGAGAAGCAACACTGCACACACTGGTCTTGGTACCATGCTAAGTAGTTCAGGATCCATTCCATATACATCAACAAACTGCCAGTTAGGATGCAGACCTAATTGTTTGAGAAACTGGTAAAAAGGGGAAACAACTAGTTTAGTGTTAACAGGGAAATAATGTGTATATACTGTATATCTGATACATAAAAGGGAATGGAAGGTACAAATACTACTGATGTTCAATAAGAATGAAGTCAAGCAGGTTTTCCATGAATAAGGTAGGAAGAGATAGCAATTTATTTATATCAGTTAACAAACATTTAAAATTTACAACATATTAAGCAAAACTCCGTTTTTCAAAATCCATTACTTTGGGATTGAACATAATAAGTGAGGACTTCACCGAACACATACAAGTGGCTTGGTTGGTATCTTAAACTCATTCCCAACATTGGATTTTTAAGGAAATGCATCTAAGTTCTAGTACATAAAGAATTATTTTGGTAGTAAATCAGCATAGTCTATCCTAATTATCAAAAATGATGACTGAGGTTTAAAGATAGATGATAGGTCGATATCACAAGTTTTATCAATGAACAAAGAGTGTATAAGGCCAAAAAAGTCCAAGCAACTTGTGGGAACACCAGGAAATGCTTGATATAAAAAGTAACCTGGGACTTCCCTGGTGGTCCAGCGGGTAAGACTCTGCGCTCCCAATGCAGGGGGCCCGGTTCAATTCCTGATCAGGGAACTAGATCCCGCACGCATGCCGCAACTAAGAGTCCACATGCCGCAGCTAAGTCCAGGTGCAGCCAAAATAAATAAATAAATATATAATAAATAAATATTAAAAAAATAATTATATAAAAAATAAAGTAACCTGCTGGCTTCCTGACTTTCAGTACACAATGAAACCTACTCAGCTTCACTGTCTCCCCTACAACTAGCAAAAAAAAAAACTGTAACAAAAGAGCAGTGGTTTTTTCAAACTCTTAAGAATTCATAGGGAAATAAAATATCAGACCCTAATCTATTGCAGAGAGAAAAGGAAAAAAGAACATAATAATAAGAATGATGTCAATTTCACAATAAACTCAATAAATGCCTGTACTGAAGGAAATTGATGGTTTTAAAAAGTTCACCATCACAAAATAAATTTTACATGATAGAAATAATAAAGGAGTAGAGGAAACAAAAAACATACTAAAAATGCATCATTATACCTTACTTTGAGAATACATTACAGTATCTACTGGTCTAACATTATCTTTAAGTTGTTTTTTTGTTTTTGTTGTTTGGGTTTTTTTTGTTTGTTTTTTTGTGGTACGCGGGCCTCTCACTGTTGCGGCCTCTCCCGTTGCGGAGCACAGGCTCCGGACGCGCAGGCTCAGCGGCCATGGCTCACGGGCCCAGCCGCTCCGCGGCATGTGGGATCCTCCCGGACCGGGGCACGAACCCGTGTCCCCTGCATCGGCAGGCGGACTCTCAACCACCGCGCCACCAGGGAAGCTCCAACATTAACTGAGATTTAAAAATAAAAAGGTGCCTTGGGTATTTCTCCCTGAAGAACGATCACACATACTTAGATCATCAAATGAGATCTTGCAAAACCAATGGAAGCCATGCCCTATTACATAAACAGTGTTATTCATCTCACAGTCAGGTTCTACAAGACAAGACATTCCTGATTAAAGGACCACTCTCCACATCCCTCCAATTCTCTGCCTGTAGAAAAAACGCTACTTACTGATAGTATGGTTGGTCAAAAATAAGGTCTTAGATACATTTAATAAGAAATACTCTGAATTAAAAAACTTATCTTGGCAGAATGTGCTCAACATCCATAGATTCATCAAGTCACATGCTCTGCAACAGTCTGGGGCCACAGAAATCAATGGCCCTCTCTAGTTAATACCTATTCTTCATCTGATTCCTATTAATGATTCCAGACTTTAATAAAGTTCAATGAAGTATTCCAAACTACTTCCCTCTCCCTTCTCCACTTTCTCTGAAATTCTTAGTCTATGCCCTCCTCAATATTCAATTCTATCTAGAAACTAAAAAAGGACTAAAACTGACTGCAAAGCCAAAGGAAGGAACTGTGTCTTATTCATCTTTTTAATCCCACTGCCTAGCACTGTACTGGCCAAACCATAGACACTCAAGTTCTATTTGCTGAACTTGCAAGAAATTTGTTGAATTTGTTAAAGATTGTATCTCTATCTTAATAGATAATCTAGCCATCTGTATGTCTACACATGTCTGTTAAGCTATGTTTATAATGAATATTTTACATATACTTTTTATTTGTGCCAAGTTAAAGAGGTAGGAAAGATACATTTGGCTTCTAATCTAAAACCAGGCATTTATCAGCTCCAAATACTCCAAATACTACCTGCACAGGACTGACAGCTCTAAAAGGCATACTGTCAAGGAAAAGTATCATAAACCCTGATAAAAGAATTTAAATATATTTGTTAATATTATGTACCCCCAATAGCCATATTGCTATAAAGTTATAAAACAAGAGGTACATGTAACAGAGTAATTTTTACATCTGTGCTGCAAACTGAAAGTAACAGTTAAACATCTTAGTGAAAAAACAGTCTGGAGAAAATTGGCAAATTACCTTGAAGTTGTAAACTTGTTCCAATTATCAGCCAAAGCTAAAGAGTATAAAAATTACCAAGCTCCAAAGGCAGCAGTTGTAGCAAGAGTGATTAGTATCAAACTGAGGACACATCAATGATTAAATAGAAGATTAAATTAAATATAAAAAAATGATTAAAATTTAACTGGAATCATACTTTTCCTCAACTTTTTACTCATATAGCCAATCAAATAAGATTGATAAAAAGACATTCAATTTAACTAATATCTATTAAGTACATCGATGCAACCTCTGACTCCAGATTGTTATGGGTCAGACTCACACAGGAAGTCATCATATGCATAGAAAGAATAAAAGAGGCTATGCCTAGTAACTACCTCTGGGCTTCGGAGAAAAGGTGAGGAAGAAAGTCTCCGACTTTTACCTCTCACTTTTTTTTAAATAACGAAGGTATCCTACTTTTATAATTAAAGGAAAAAGAAGAACCTACGTGCATTTGTGATGATCATAGTCAAATAGAGAAAGGTTAAAAAGAAATTCTCTAAAATATTAAATATTAATAGTAGTTAGCTTGGATGGTATGGAACTCAACTTTTTATCTCCCAGTGTTTTTAAAAAGTGTTATTTTTACAATAGATGTAGTTTCAAAGATAACAAATCTACAGAACTGATATGCATGTACTTTCTTTAAATTTACAAAATTGGGATAAAACATAATGCGTTTTAAAACTATTCCCAAAAAAAATCTCTCCAGCTTACAAAGAAAAGTATTCTATATAGTATAGGCACTTGCAAAGCCATCTGTACACAATTAGAAGCATGCTGTTTGCATCAAATATAATAAAGGGATTTATAACCTTTAATATCTGTCTTCAGGCTTTTTTAAACATTGGGTAATAAAATAACAAAAAATTCTGACTGACTAGCTCACTAAATTTTTATAATGCCACACTAACGTTTGGCCTATCAAGAAAAACAATTAGTAAATTAGAATATGTGCCCAAAGAAGATCCTTGGTTAACTTATCCTTTTCAATGGTCCAAAGAGAAAATTTCCACCAGATATAGAATATTTTAATTTATTTGTAAATATTTAAAAATAGTATCTTGTATCAGAAACTATGCTAGGAACTTTAATGCACTTCACCTTTACTGCAAAGGAGGTTTTATTATTACATCCTTTCACCAATGAGAAAACTGAGCCTGGGAGGTTCTGTGACTCTTCAAGGTCATGCTGCCAGAACCCACATGCCAAGCTCTGGATGTTCTGGTGCTTATTTACTTGTCTCTCACTGCTTAAAGTACCTTTCTGTACTTTGTTCTCTAATTTTAGCCACAACGAACTCTTCAAGTTCTCAAAGGGTTGATAACCATCCCTTACCTTGCTTTTGCACACAAACTGGACTTATATCTGAAAAACTGTTAGCCTCTCCCCCTCATTTTTAAAAATTTATTTATTTATTTATTTTTGGTTGTGTTGGGTCTTCGTTTCTATGCGAGGGCTTTCTCCAGTTGTGGCAAGCGGGGGCCACTCTTCATTGCGGTGCGCGGGCCTCTCACTATCGCGGCCTCTCTTGTTGCGGAGCACAGGCTCCAGACATGCACGCTCAGTAGTTGTGGCTCAGGGGCCTTGTTGATCCGCGGCATGTGGGATCTTCCCAGACCAGGGCTCGAACCTGTGTCCCCTGCATTAGCAGGCAGACTCTCAACCACTGTGGCACCAGGGAAGCCCTCCCCCTCATTTTTAATGAATTCCTCCTCATTCTTTAGGTGATAGTCAAGTAACAAAAACTCTGATTACATAAATATATAAAAACAAAAGAAAAATTAAATCTACCTTCCTTTCAAATTTGTTCTTAAGTCACTTGCTCTGGTCTTTAATGGCCAGCTCAGGACAGCAATAGATTCTGCCTTGTTACTAATTTACTAATGATTTGGGTTATGACAGAAATTATACTTATCTAGTAATTGCTTGATATCACTACTAGTAAAAGTATACTAGTAGTAACTGCTAGATGCAGAACTAGGAAAATAACTAATAGTTAAATGAGAAAACAATGGTTTTTAAAGTCTGGAAACCAGCCAAATGAATTTTAATAGCTATTTAGTAAACAAACAAAAATGAAATTACTTAAGTACAGAATGGGGAAATACTAAAAACATTTTATGTAGGAACCAAGAAAAAAAGGAGTTTACTTTACTGCAGGCTCAATATGGACTACACAATTGTCAACGTAAGTGATGCAATGCTGATCTGCTTTAAAAGTTGTATTACTCGGGATAATTTAGTAACACACTATTTCAACACAGATTATTCAGAGTGGAATATGATATCAGCTCTGGTAGGCCTATTTTATGAAGGATGACAACAAATAATCAGGCTCAAAGAAAGGTCACCAGGAATGATAAGGTTTTGGAAGACATCACAGCTGGAGAATCTGGGCATGTTCGAAGAAAACTTAAATTATTATAATCCTTTTCCCCCAATATTTCTAGTAATATCATGAAGAAGCGATTAGATT